TTCTAGTATGGCAGTCAATGTGTTAAGTGCTCAAAAATATTTGTTCACTGATCTATTGATGATTTATCAATTTCTAGGGGGGGAAATGAGAGAAAATGAGCAAGAACAGGAAAAAAAAAATCAGAAAGTATTAGAGCTAGAATTAAATTGAGGAAACACCTAGCGCGTACTCTCTCCGAATGCCGGTCCTGGTCACTGTGGTTTTCAAAATTAGGTTAGGAAGGTCAGTGCTCCTGGCTGAGGTTTAATCACATCAGCTTGGTTGTCTGGTTTTAGCCACTTCTTCTAGTACCTCTTTCGGACATCCTTTAGGATTCTTTATAGGGAAATTGCCAGTCTCATGCTTCTTATGGTGTTGACTTGTTTCTTAATAGCCATTAATTGACTTAGAGATATAATAAGGACTTAATTCAGGCTTAATGAGGCCTTACTCAGTACAAAGATAAGTCCCTAGTCAAAACCTAAATGTCGAAGGTGAAACTTGAATCAAAAAGTCATATACTGTGCTTTCAGATTGGTCACTAAATTTAAAAAAAATTGTATAAATGGAGTCACTGGCTAAAACTAGTCTCCCAAATACAGATTTTTTCCTTTCTCTGTCTTCAGAGGAGACCACCAGCAGTTTGGTTCTGCTTCATCTTCACAGACAGATGTGGAGTTTGCAGGAAAGCTGGTTGAAGTAGCAGGACTTTTAATACTAGACTCAGCACTTTCCTGAATTTGACTTGAATTTTGTATTAATATTATGTTTGGGCCCTGAGAAGATTCATTCAGCCAGGCTGACTTAACGGCACTAAATGACTAGTTGACTGTACGTACTAATCACATAAATATGGTTTGTGGAATGATATAAAATGGTTTATGAAATCATTTCTAAACCATCTTTTCAACAGTAATTATACCAGTCCTGTAATACCTTAAACCGAGCGATATTGGCAAGACTTAGCCTAAGCGTGTTTACTATTCTAATGATTAGCACAGAAAATCGCCATTGCAGTAAAATGACAGGGTTGTGTGCTTGTCTCTTCTTCCCCTGCATTTCACTTTTTTCCCTTTCACGTTGAAACAGACTTCATAACGTTTCGTCGTGGGAGAAGGCTGCGTAGGTTTCCAGTTGCTGTAATTGAGTTAAACCATAAAATTGTTTCCAGATTACCAACCATGAAATGGAAATACAATCTTATTTATGAATTTATAAATCAGATAATCTCCCGAAAATGAATCCTGAAACCAGAAACAGTTTGATGATTAAATAGGAGGGAAAAAGTTTTCTCATTACCATGTGTCAAAAGAATTATATTTTGATAAAGTGGTCCTGGCCAAGATGGCGGGGCGTGCGTATGTACGCAGTGCTCTGTGTATAGTGGCCTTCCCTGCACTTGGCTCTCGCCCTCGTTTCCTCGTCTAGGGGAGAGGATCGCTCCCCCTCTACTCTCAAGCATCTCAACTCTCCAGAGAGGATGTCAGATGAGCAGCTGCCTGACTCAGTATCTCTGACACATCATGTCTTTTTCCTGGTGGCCCTGCTGGTGACGTATCCTGCAAGAGGCCACCCAGGGAGCATTCACTCCCTTCCTCACAGACACAGAAAACTGAGCCAAGCACATGGGCATCTGCACTGGGTACAACACTTATGCTCCAAAACATCCAAACACTCATCCCAGCCGGTTCTGCAACTCGGTCAATATCAGCCCTGAACAAGGAGAGCGAGATGCTATTTTGGGGGTGTGTTTCTCTGCATCCTAAAACTATAATCTGGGAAAAGCCAAGTACCCGCTGAGCCAAGGAAAAATGCCAAAGTATTTGTATAAAGCCCTGTGGACTCCCATGTGGAGATAACCTGGTCTATGCTATAACATACTTTCGTTTATTTTCTTTTTTAGTTACTTTTAGAGACAGGGTCTCACTCTGTCTCCTAGGCTGGAGTGCAATGGTGCAATCATAGCTCACTGCAACCTCAGACTCCTGGGCTCAAGCAATCCTGTGACTCAGCCTCCCAAGTAGTTGGGACTACAGGCGTGCACCACCACATCCAGATAATTTTTAATTTTTTTGTAGAGACAGGGTCTTGCTATGTTGCCCATGCTGGTCTTGAATTCCTGGCCTCAAGCAATCCTTCTGCCTCAACCTCCCAAAGTGCTGGGATTACAGGCGTGAGCCACCACGCCTGGCTACTGTGCTATAACATTCTACAACTCTAACCACAACGATGAATCAGTCGAAGATCAATGTCTTTTATCTGGAATGATTTGGGTGCTTTGTTTCCATTTTTAATGCTGCCGCTCTTCTTTGGTGGACAAGGTAATGAAACCTGCAGACCAGAGAGGGCTCAGAAAGAACACTGGTTTAGCCTTGATCAGCAGCGTGCCTGTGGCCAGTGTTGGAATCCCAGGACTATCTTCTAACATTTTCCTCTTTGCAGACTCTCATTTAGTGTGTGCATAAATGAAACCTACCTATGTCTTGCATTTCTTAATATTACTGTCTCCTGCATGTACTTAGGTTGTCACCATGTCTTCATATCCCACACGCCAGGTGTATGGAACCCTTTAAGCCACTTCCTAACCCTAAAAATGTCATGCCACTTTTTTTTTTTTCCTTAAGGAAATATCCTTTGCATTTGCCTAGGATCGAGTAAGAGTAATAAACTAGTGCAACTCAGGGTAGCTCTGAATGCAACTCCACTCCCAGGGTCACTCATCTGACTTCTAGCAGTGCCAGGAACAGAGCCCCCGTGAGATGAATGCGGGTGCCGGACAACTTTCACCCGAGCATTTGCCCGAGGAAGTCATTCATGTCCCGAGAGTTTGTGTGAGTGCGTCTCTCCCAGGTGGCAGGCAGCATGATCAGTCACCACCCCCATCGTTTCGGAGGTGCCATTGTGACTTGGGTCAATCAACTTGCAATTTCCAGTAGGCATTTACTAACCTGCTTTCCTTATATGAATTTCTTGCTGATTTTTCTCTCTGGCACATGAACTGTTTTATGGGAAAGAGGACTCCAAGAACACAGGTATGAAAGGAATGTTCTATGGCTCACACATGTAGCACTGACCATATGCCTGGAAACAGTTGCAGAGTCCCTCTGTGGAGAAACATTCCCACACTCACCGTGTGAGATGTCTTCTTCGCACTCTATTAGAACAGAGAGATCATACTGTTAATACTTGAATTGTTTGGTGTTTTTCCTCCCCCTTGGTGGGTTTAAGATCATTAACTATCCAGACCGTATGCCAAGAAACTCAGTGTAGTGACAGAACCATCCATTTTAAACCAAGGGAAATGCACACAGTTCTGACGTCAGAAGCTTGTAATTGCAAAACCAAGCTCGGTGTTTCATACGGTGTAAGGGTTATATTCCAAAGGCAAAACTCAAGCCCACAAAGCTGTGTGTGGACAAAATTACCCTTGAAAATGCTCTTGATTGCCTTAAAGTTCAGGATACAGATGGTACCATCTCTCAGTAAGCCCAGCTTACCCAGTTGGTTTTTTTCTAGTGAAAGAGCAGACCATCAACTGGTATGGTTTCCATTGGGAACAGATGAGGTAGTTGGCTTGTATTTCAGAGCCACAATGTATACACGTGCTGTTCGTAGCATAGGAACCCCTGCCACTCACGCTAGAGCCCCATGGGACAGAGACCCATGGTGAGGAGTGAGGTCTCTTCTCTTGTATCAGACTCACACTGGGACACCTGCTCACGGGGACGATCACAAGGGAGAGGCCCACACTATTTAAACTGCTCCACCAGGCACGGTAGCTCATGCCTAAAATCCCAGCACTTTGGGAGGCCGAGGCAGGAGGATCACTTAGGCCCAGGAGTTCAAGACCAGCCTGGGCAACCTAGTGAGACCTCGTCTCTACAAAAAGTAGAAAAATTAGGTGGGCTTGGTGGCATACACCTGTAGTCCCAGCTACTTGGGAGGCTGAGGCAGGAGGATCGCTTGACCCCAGGAGTTTGAGGTTGCTGTGAGCTGTGATGAGGCCACTGCACTCTCGCCTGGGAAACAGCAGTAAGAGCCTATCTCAAAAGACGAAAAGCAAAAACAAAACAACAAGAAAACAAACTGGACACACACAGCACTATTCTCCCCTCTCTTCGTTGACTGTTTGGAACTACCAAGTACATATAACTGAATTCACATGAGGTGATGTTGTTTTTATACTGTATTAAAAATAATGGTGATAGTTCTATGAAACATGCATTGTCTGAGGTCTCACAGAAATGTGAGCCTCTTTCAAATGCAACGTGAACTGTAATGTAGCATCAGAGAGCCCCGAAGAGAGAGATACAGTATTTGCACAGAGTAAACACTGAAGGAATTTTTCACTAACGTCTTGAGATGACCAAGTTGTTAGGGATACTTGTTTTCGTGCTTGATCCTATAGAAGCCTCCAGGCTAAAGTTCCTACGACATTCGATCGAGAATCGTCTACCCCCAAATCATACATTGATTTCAATCATATTTTTCCACAATCTTAAAAAAAGACGTGTTTGTGTTGCCCTGAAACTGTAAAGCAAATGTTACTATACCCAGACAAACATCTCCATCATTTTCACCAAAACCATGCAGCAGCCTCCCAGCTGAGGAGCACACTTAGACGTATGTGAAACTGGGCAGCACCTGTCCTGGGATGTCACTGGTGCTAGACAGGAGCCCTTTTGTGCAGGGTGAAGTAAGGAAAGCAGAGCTGAAAGGCTCAAAAACACATGACATGCACAGCTGTTTCCGAGGGAGATGTTTTTCGGTTTCCGGGGAGGCCTGCACTGGTTTGCACAGTATCTTTGCAGTGAGGTCACTGGCTTGATGCTAAACTGTCATCATCAAATCTTGACCTCGGCTGGGGCTTTTGCAGACTGTTTATGCTCCTGAGCCGGGTTGGGTGAACTTTGGTGGCCTTCTAGGCAGGACGTTTTATAACCCTCTGGTGGATCATTTACCTAGAAAAACCAGTCTGAAAGTCAATAGAGCTTTAACAAACAATTCTCTTGTTTTGCAGAGAGAGGATGCAAGCCATGGAGAAACAGATTGCCAGTTTAACTGGCCTGGTGCAGTCTGCACTTTTTAAAGGGCCCCTTGCAAGTAATAGCAAAGATTCGTCTAGGTAAAAAAAAAAAAAAAGAAGAAAACAAACCAATGAAAAAATAATTCGATCTGTTTCTCTTTAATCATTAAGATAATTCATTCATTCAAATCCGTTTCCTTGTAATCATTTCAAGGCTGAAAATATTCACATCTGTATGAATCATGGGTGGGTTTTTTTTTTTTTTATTTGCTTTGTTTTGTTTTGTTTTGTTTTTTTCTTCTGGTGATTCTTGGTCAAATGTCACATTTTGGCCCAAGAAGGGTGAATGGGCTTCCCAGTGCATGTGGCTTCACGGACCACTCACTGCGCTGCACCTGCAACCGCCATCCTCGCGTGTCCACGTCGCCATCACCCGAAAGTCACCAGTGTGCATCCCACCCCCTAGTGTCAGGGGTACACCTGGGAAGCCTTTTCCATCCGGCCAGTCGTGGTGCTGATGCTAAAATACCTTCATCGCTTAATCTCATCGCTGCTAATTGCTTCGAGTAGTGAATGAAAGGGGAAGAAAAAAAGGCATTTGGAAACCGTATAGCTGACTCTGTTTTTCTTTTATTCAGCGAGAAAGTGACGAAAACCGCAGCCAGGAACCATGCAGACGGTGCAGGTAAGTCCGTGCTCTCTGGAGCTCCGGGAGGCCCGCGGGCCGCCTTGGATCAGCCCTGGCTGCTCTCAGAAGTATTTAACCTTTCCCAAGTCCCTAAGTCACCCATTTGGTGTGACTTCAGTGGCTTCCTGGGTACCTCCCTCACTTCCACACCTTTTCCGTAACGCTGAAGTTCCGGATTTTGTCACTGATCCAGTGAGCGAAGCTTCTCCCATCCGTCTTCATTCATTTGTTCACGTAGTCAGCCACTTACTCATTTCTGTGGCCACACGTGGGCCTCAGGAGACACAGCGCTGCCTGCGGGGAAGATGGATAATGAGACAAGTAACTTTACGTGGGCCGAGTATTAAGAAGTGCGGGGATAAATGTTTAACACATTAACGGCCATGTGAGTTGTATTTAACTCACGCTAGTTTTGAGCCCGGGGCCTCATGAATCAAAACCTGGGCAAAACCCTGCAGTTGGTTCATGAAAATCGTACTTGTTGATGTTCTTATTGTTATAATTCATATTGACAGCTTAATTCTAAAAATGTGGGTTAAATAAATAGAAGTCAATACATTTCATTTTTCTGTTTATATTTACCCTTAAATGACACTTAAGCCTGGCAAGTCAAGAAAAACGCTTTACCCTTACAAACTACTTTTTCAAGCTTTCATATTACTTTTTACATTACTAATTTGCAAGTTTTCATATTACTTTTTTATTGGGAAAAAACACAGAAAGCAATAAAAAAATAACAAATGGTTCGTTAAATTAGAAAGGATCATTTTGTTTTCAAAGTTTTTTGTTCTGTTTTTGTAATAAAACACCATGGCCTCAAAGGAAAAAAACCTTTTATTCTAGTGTGCAGTCGGTGTGTTAACCAACAAGGCTTGCTACACTGAGGGTGCGGCCCTGAGGAAGTGGCACAAACCGGGGCCCAAAGGACGAATAGGACTTAGAGGGGAGAAGAGCCATCCAGGTCAAGGGCATTTAGATATTATTCTAAGTGAAGCTACTGGAAGGTTCTACACTGGGGAAGGATGTCAGCCCAGCAGCAATCTGGGAATGGATGAGGAGAAACAAGAGCCAACAGGGAGTGACCAGGTGTCCAGGCAGGATCTGAAGGTGTCCTTGGACCAGGGTCTACTTTCTAAATGCCAACATTGCCCCGAAAGAGGACCCAGTTCCATTAGCAGTGGCGTCACTAGTGTCCGGGTCTGTGTGACGAATGTCTTCTCCTGCAGTCTCAAGAGAAGCTCCTTCGAGAAGATGAGGTCTTCCCTCCCATCGGGTTAGAAATGGAAATCTGTAGCAGGGACACGTTCAGACACTGAATTACGCAGGAAGCGTATGGCGAGTTGGGTGGAACCCCACATTTAGGGAAGCCACGTGCACAGTTGTGTGCAGCGTGGTAGAGTGGACAGAACTGGGGACTTCAGTCAGGCCCCTGGCGGTCCTGCTTCTGCACTGGTTGAGCACAGTTGAGCTGCAAAGCCAACAGGACTGCCTCGCCAGCGTTCCTGACCCTGGCAGGATGTGTTGTTTTGCTTAGAAATCAATCAGTGGCCTTGGCCGCAGCCAGAGAATTATTTCATGGAAATTGCTAAACTTGTCTTCGGTGCCGTTGCCAGTTTGCTTTGGAGACATTTATTCATTCATTTTTTTGAATGTGTTATGAACTTGAGGGATACAAGGAACCTCCTGAACACTAAAACCTTCCATCCCTCTGGAATCCATTCTAGAAATGATGAGTGTCCGATCCCATGGTTCTGATCCGTATGTGCATGCCGTTTTTCTCATTTTCTTCGTTTTGCTTTTTGTGGACTAATAATAACAGGACACGTGCTAAGTGCTTTCTCTGTGCCAGGCGCCGTGACCAGTGTTTTCACGCAGTCACTCATGGACTCTGGACACGTGTCCACACACATGGGACACACACAACACCGTCCACATGCCTGTCGTTTCACCTCATTCTTTTACATTAAGATACCCCAATCCCTTTAACGATTGTGTAGGTCGTTTCATTTCTTTGTTTTGAAAAATTTTGTAAATTTCTTCTGGGATCATGGGGCAGGAGCAAGTGTCATTTCCTTGGCTGCGTTTCCCAGAGGGGCGTCACTGAGTCCGAAGGGACAAACGGTTTCGTAGCACTGGCGATGCGCCACCGGTTTTCTCTTCCGAAAGGCTGAGCCGATGTGTGGCGCCGCCGGCAACGCACGCGTGGCCTCGCTCGCCGCGTCTCTGCTGAGCTTAGGCTTTCTTGTTCTGTTGCATCAGGGCTAGATGTTGTCCACAGGGGCTCGGTTGCCATAGCAGCCTTGTACAGTGCACAAAACATAATAATTCTTCCAGAATCCTGGGAAGTAAGCTATAAGACAAGAAGTATTATCCCTGTTCTGTAGAGGAGTAAATGGAATTATCTAGAAGTCAAGAATTGGCCAAGACTAAATGAAAGAGGGAAACCTAGACTCCCTGGTTACTTTAGGAATATGTAGTTTACTGTGGATATAAGAGAACAGAAAGAACCTCCCATCTCAAAGGCATTCCATGGGTTTTATACTCTGCGTTAGATCCTTTAACACACACGACCCTACATGGAAGAGGTTACTCTTCATATTTTATGCGGAAGGAAATGGAAGCTCAGAGAAGTTAAGTTACTCATCCAAAGCCACACAGCTCACAAGAGTAACAGCCAGTCCGGCCAGCCCCAAGCCCATGTTCTTCTTATCCCAACAAGATACATTAGATCCACATCAAATGTGCGTTTAATAAGATTCATCTTAAGAGAAAACTGGCCAAGATAAATTGCCTGGAGGGGGTAAAGTACGCAGAAAGGAATGAGGCTCTGGGGACAAGCTGTGTGTTGACTGTCCTTTCTAGGCTGGGCACGTGGAGAGCAGAATGCGACCCCCGCCGTGCGCGGGCCTGGTGGGTGGATCCCAGGTCTTGTGGATCTAATTTGAATGGGACCTCGTTTGCCACTTGGGGTCCCCACCCACCAGATGTAGCTCCATGATGAATCTAGAATTCAGGGCACTTGCCTGGAGAGCTCAGCCAGCCGCAGCTGCCCCCCTAACTCCCAGCCCAGCCTTCTGCACCTGCTGAGACCCCCAGTGAGGAGGGGCCGGCTGGCCGGGGGTCCTCCCACCCACTCTGCTCGGAGAAATAATAATCACAGCTAACTGCGGCCAGGACTTCATCTCTGCCGGACCCTGGGCTGAGCAGTTCACATGTGTTCTGTTAGCCCACACGGTGACCCTTACACCCATTCTACAGATCGGGAAACTGAGAGAGAGGTTAAGTTACTTGCTTGAGGTCACACACTAAGAACTGGCTACTGAGAATGATTCCCAGGTTTCCGGTTTAAATAATTGAGTGGATAATAGTGCTAAAATTAGGACCACAGAGACAGAAAGAGGTTTGGGGAAGATGAGTGGAAATCATGAATTTGACCTGCTTATAGGAAAGTCCAGTAGTGAGGGGGCGTTATCGGTGTGTGGATCTGAAGAGGACCGCGTGCTGCAGATGAGGATGTGGGAGCCCTCGGCAGGTGGTGGCAGCAGATGCGATCTCCCTAGGAAGCAGAAGACACCCAGGACGCCAGAATTTAAAAGGGCGACAGAGGAAGGAGTTAGAAAAGAGATCGACTCATAAAGAGCAGCAGAGAGGGCAGAAGATGAAGGAGAGGAAAGTTTCAAAGTGACTAAAAAGGAAAGAAGTGACTGGCAAGGCTCAGCGTCACATTGAAGCGAAGTCACGTCAGTCCTGGAGAGCATCCGTGGGGTTGACAGCTACCATGTCACCGATTCCCTTATAAAGAGCCATTTCCATAAATGATGGAGCTAGAAACCAGACGTAATGGATTAAGAGGTTATAGATGAAGACATTTGAAAAATGAATGTAGATTCCATATAGAAATTTGGTTGTGAAAGATATTTTTTAAACCAGTTATTCAGGCATTCAACTGTCACATCTGATATGTAGACGCGAGCCTCTCCTCCATGAAATAAAATTTTGGTGACTGGGTGCGGTGGCTCACACCTGTAACCCCAGCGCTTTAGGAGGCTGAGGCGGGAGGATTACTTGAGGTCAGGAGTTCAAGACCAGCCTGGACAATATAGCAAGACCCCATCTCTACAAAAAATAAAAAAATTAGCCAGGTGTGGTGGCACATGCCTGTAGTCCCAGCTACTCTGGAGGCTGAGGCAGGAGGATTGCTTGATCTTAGGAGTTTGAGGCTGCAGTGAGCTATGATGATGCCACTGCACTCCAGCCTGGGTGACAGAGTGAGATCGTGTCTCAAAAAGAAAAACAATAAAGGACTGGTGAGGTGTATTGGTGCCTTCAGAAAGTGCAAAGAGAAAGAGGGATGAGGAAGGAATGCGTGCCTTCCTGTGGCTGAGGAATCGGAATGGTTCTTACCAGAGAGTGGCTAGCTAGCGCAGCGTCCTCTTTGTTGGAGAAAGACCTTGGTGGTATCATTCGTTGTACACATGCTATTGCGTGTTGTGAGTGTGTGTGTGTGTGTGTGTGTGTGTGTGTGTGTGTGTGTGCGTGCCTGTGCCTCTCCGTATAGGGAGTGAGGATAAAGTAATTTGACTGACTGTGAAAGGAAAACTTGCAATTGATCATGGTCCCATCTCAGAATAATTGACATCGGAAGACACTAAGTTAATTCTAACGCGCAGCTGTCATTGGAAATGTGATTGGATATGCTCAGTACCTTTGCAATAGGAGAACATCCTTTTGAACATGCAGATAGCCAACCTTGTTCTTTTGAGGGTGATTTTTATCCGGGGGTTGGTGGCAGTAGGAGAACAACCAGAAGTTGATCCGAGCCATGACTGGTGATGGTGTCAGTGACCGTATGACAAAAAGCTCACCGTCTGGTCTGCCGGGGCTCCCTTGTCCACCTTTTAAATTGCCTGCTGGCCTGCTCTGCCGACTCCCTCAAGGGGGCCATCGGAGGGGCTGGCGCCGTCTGGACGGTCGTCCGAGGGTGAGGGGCGGGTTGAGCCATCAGCTCCCCACTGGTGTTGCTGGGGCCCAGCAAGGAGGAGGACAGTTTGCGGAGCCTCCTCTGCCGCTGGCACGCCACCTCCAGCCCGTGGCAGCAGCTGCACTGACGCTTTGCCAGGGTGTGTGCGCTGGGGAGGGATCGCACGGTGGCCGCGCCAGGTTGGAGAGGCAGGCTACCACGCCGTAACCGTTCCGGGCTGTGCAAGTAACCGGCCACGTGCTGTCCCGCGAGGCCAGCCTGGGCTGGGACAGAGATTCCACCCTCCCTTTACAGGAAGGAGAACTGAACAGAAGTGTGTGCACAGGTAACGTGGATCCGGCACTTACCCCAGGGGCCCGTTCCCTAGAATCGCGTTGTCCTGAAAAGAAAACAGCGCTTTATTTTCATTCCTGTACCTCAAACCCTGCTGATCCCGTACGGCCCACTTGGGGTTCTTTTTGAGTCATTTCAAAGGCAAACTTGGTGACATCAGGCCCTTCCCAGGTAGACTTATGAAATACAGGAGGATTATTTAAGTTGAATTCAAGGAGCAAATGTTTAGGGTAGCTGGAAAACAATGTAGGAAGAGTTGCTGTCTGTTGCCTTTTTTTGATTCCTCTCCTGAAGAATTTTTGCATCACGCCTTATTTTCTTAGCAAAGGGGATGTGTGCAGAGAAGTCCTGCATCTTTGGGTTTTGGAAACCCGAAGGGATTCAGGACGGTACCCAGTTCTTACTCATGTCCCCTTGGTGATCAGTCGATCACCGATCTCCGCCCAGAAATAAGGCGCATGTCCTTAGGGTACGTCAGCCATGCAGGAAACAGTCATGTAAGCACTATGTTAGGTCTCAGAATTTAAAAATTATTTTTATTATGAAATTATAGATATTCACTATACAGATTTAAAAATACAAAAAAAAGTAATAAAAAATGTGAAACTTATATTGGAAAACAAACAGCTAGAGAAACTGTTAAAACTTTGTCGTATAGACTTCTAAACTTTTCTCTGTGCAAACCTGTGTGTTTAAAGGTAGATAGGGCTGGGCGCGGTGGCTCACAGCTGTAATCCCAGTGCTCTGGGAGGCCAAGGCAGGAGGATCACTTGAGGTGAGGAGCTCGAGACCAGCCTGAGCAAGAGCGAGACCCTGTCTCTGCCAAAAATAGAAAAATTAGCCGGGCATGGTGGCACACACCTGTAGTCCCAGCTACTCAAGAGACTGAGGCAGGAGGATCGCTCCAGCCCAGGAATTTGAGGCTGCTGTGAGCTATGATGACACCACTGCAGTCTAGCTGGGGCAAAAGAACAAGACTCTGTGTCAAAAACACGAGACAGACAGACAGACAGATAGATGGGTAGATGGGAACATAGGCAGCTTCCTTAACATGGCATCGTGCTGTCGTGCTGCTCTGTGGCCCGCCTTCCTCTGGCACCAAACTTCTAGAACTTCTGGAGTTTTACAGACTGCGCACTGTAACGTTGCATGGTTTATCATTTTTTCTTAATGAAAGAAATGAGTGTTTTTAGAGTTACCCAGTAACCTGCGTTGGGACGGGACCTGTAGCTTGGGCTTTCGTTTCTGGCCTTCTTAGGTGCTCTGCTGCTCTTTTCTTGTAGGAACTCCCCACGTGTCTGGAGGGAAGACCCACGGCGCCCTGGAGTCCACGGTGCCACCCGGCCAGCCCCCGCCTGCGGGCACCTCCACCCTCCACGCGAGCCTGCTGGACATGAGGCGGAGCGTGGCCGAACTCAGACTCCAGCTGCAGCAGATGCGGCAGCTCCAGGTACGGGCGCTGTTCCCCGGAGACGGCATCCTCTGACTTAGCCGCCCCGGGTCAGCTTCCTCCTCCTCTCTCTCACCTCCTCCCACATCCTCAGCTCCCCTGCGCCTTCCCTGGGCTCTGTCTAGCATCCTTCGCCCAGGGCTAACTGACAACCTGGAGAGTAGAGCCGTAGCGACCTGGTGTCCTCTCTCATATGCACAGTCCTGGTCTAGAGGCACCTGCCGTGACCGTAGTCAGTCTACGACACCTTCTTTAAGCTGTGCATGCTTTTACCAGGAAGAAACTATTCAACATCTGCTTTTGGAAAAGAGTGTAATGGAGGGAAGCCCCTTTGGAACACGCCAACAGCCGGTTCAGGCTGCCTGCTGACAGCGTGTGGGCGCCATCCTCTGCAATGAGAGGGCCAATGGGTGGACATTTGCCCATGTCTTTTTTTTTTTTTTTTTTTTTTTTTTTTTTTGCAAGGAAGTGTGATGTGTTTAGAATGATGAGTTTAGAATAGAACATGAAACCATAAGAAAAAAAGCCACCACGGATGATTTGTTAAGAAACACATCTGCATTTCGTTTGGAGAGTGAGATCCATCTTTTCCTTGCCCTTGTCCACTGTGAAGGAATATATGGGCTATGTGGGAGTCAGAGGGGATGGAACATGACCCCTCATGTCATGAATCTTGGTCTGCAAATCCCATAAATGTGCCAAAGCAGAATATGCAGTCTCCTTGTTGTCACTGAGAAGAAGGTGTGTCTGTGCGTCTCTGTATGAGGTCCCAGTTCTACTTCCCCTCCAGTGTGCCAGTGGCATGAGCCCTACATTTTTCACTACCCGATGAAAGCTAAGAAAACAATTTCCCCTTACCCTCTGCCTCCCAGAGAACAAACACAAGGGCAGCTGGTTTGAGAGACCTGCCCCGAGGCCCCCGCCTGGGTCTTGAGAGTGCGTAGAAAGCTGGGCGCAGTGGCTCACGCCTGTAATCCCAGCAATAGGAGGCAGAGGTGGGAGGATCACTTGAGGCCCGGAGTTTGAGACCAGCCTGGGCAACATAGCGAGACCCCCACCCCATCTCTAAAAACATAAGAAAAATTAACTGGGCGTGGTGGAGCACACTTATAGTCCCAGTGAGTCGGGAGGCTGAGGCAGGAGGATCGCTTGAGCCCGGGAGTTTGAGGCTGCAGTGAGCTGTGATCACACCACTCCTCTCCAGCCTGAGTGACAGAGCGAGCCCCCGCCTCTAAAAATTAAAAAAAAAAAAGGAGAGAGAGTTGATTGAACAGATCACACTGCCCAGTGCCAGATCTCCCAAAGCTGCTGTCTCTCAGGAAACGTCCCAGACACTTGGACATCACATGCAAATTCATTTAAATCTTCTGAGTCACGCCTTCGACAAAATTCCCCATGCTTTGCGTTAGCTCTTCATGGCTTTACAATTTTAAAAACACTTTGCAGTGAAATGCAATGTACAGGTTGGGCTGGGGTTGTATGCAGAGGTGACAAAGTCACATGTCTTCAGTGGCCAGGCAGTAACAGCAAGTGAAGCAGGAGAAGGACAATGGGAAATTAGCCCCTTTAAAGGACAGTCGCCACTCAGTTCCAGCCAGCTCTTAACCGGATGGAATTAGAGTCCAGTGTTCTATTCATAGATGTTTCAATATTGTAAGCAAATCTGGAAATACGGGTTTTATATGAATTATCTCTATTTTAAAATGTTGGTAAGTAGTTAAAAACCAATTACTTAGTACTCTGCAGGCCATGGAACACATCTGCCAGCCAGAGGCTGAGGTCTCCTCCCAGCTTACCTAGGGTTTCTGGAGGGTCAGCCCCTCCTCCCCTGCGCCTGGCTTTGGCGCCATCTACTGGCCATTTGGGAATTGTGCTGTCCTGATTAGACGCTCACAAGGAAAATAAATGTATCATTTGTCTGGAAGTACCTAACTGCTCTCAAAAGTGAACATTTGTTGGTGTGCAGACAAGATGGAATTGCTTTAGCATAAATATCACACTCCCACCCTGGATAATTCATAGGTGTCAGAGGTGAATTTGGTACCAAGGCTATGTTGTCTGTGGCTATAGCATCACCCTGTTGGTGGCTGGCATCATTTCGCCCTCCTAGCTTGGAGGGATTTCCCATAACTGGCCTCTGCTTGCAAAACCCTTGAACTGTAGCGTCTCAGTGCAGAAGAGAAGCTTTCTTAAACAAAGAAGTTCCTTGGTCAAGGTCTAGGAATGCTATCTTAACCACACAAGTTTCTTTATTGTTCAACTTTTCTGGCTTTCTGGGAAAATAAAGAACAATGAACAAATGTGCTTTTGAGCTCGGGAGTTGGTGCAGTTCTAAGTAGCAGACACACAGGGAAAGCACTTTGTTTCCTAACCTGGCTCTATTGTTTCTGCCTCTGTCTTCGTATTCTCGGGGTCCCATGTAGCTTTCTTCCCGCTCAAACTTCTGCCTTTTCAATCCGGGGAGTCTATTTAAGATAAAAACAGTTTAGGATAATTAAGCTATTTCAGCACCAATGCTCCTTCAGCACATGTATTATTTTACCCCAAAAATGAAGTGCAACCCCAGAGTGGTTATAAGTCCGGTAATGGAGCTATCATTGGAGATACACGAAACTCTCTAGAATAGCCTCAAAAGAGCAAAAAATTAAATTAGAAATTCAAATGTTCTTTGAATTGTGTGATAAAATAGTGAAACTGAATGAAATCGTTTGTGCTTGGCAGCCGGCTGTAGTAATTAGATAATTAAATCATCGGAAAATCCTAGACTGTATAGCATATCCTATTTGAACACTTCGTTTTCAGAATTGATGGATTATTCTCATGAATAGAAGTTCGATGCAGACACAGTGGGGTGGGTAGATTTCAATGGGGCAAAAGTAATGTCAAGGGAGGCAAAAGGGACCTAAATAGAAGGTCAAGAAAACCCTGTTTATATCATTCTCTGCTCTCCAGTTTCCCATGAATTATCCATCTAAGGATCGTTCTCAGTCCTGGCTACTCATTGGAATTAGCTGAGGCCCTGAACAAAAATGCCAGTACCAGGTATCACTGCCAGAGTCTGACTTCATTGGTATGGACCAAATGGAGGGTAGGCAGTGGTGATTCTAGAATGTTCCAGGATAAGAACTAATGCCCTCAGGTGTTATGAATGCTCAGTCCATTGAGATCCCTCCTGGAAATGTTGAGATCAGTCAACTGTCACCAAGGGTCAAGCGGAAACAGACGAGGTATCCACTGTCCCATGAGTGCAGAAGACACACCTGGTGACTAAAAGCTGACTTTCAAATAAAGCATCTCGTTCCTAGTGGCTAATTGGGTGTGTTCTCTGCTTAGTGACAATGGGTACAAGAGCTGTGTGGAGCTTCTGTAGTGTTAGGTTCCCATCCCCAAGTGACAGTCGGGTCTGTGATTAGCTGGCAACAGTGGAAAAGGGTCTCGTCAAGGTCTTGCATGTAACAAATGTTCTCTTCAAAAGAAAATCATCTTTGTCCACTGCCTTTCCTGGTAGGATTTAGAAAAAGGCCCACTTTTTCTACATAGTGAGCAACGTCTTTTCCCCAAAATGCCATAGTACTTGGATTTTACCAAAGTAATCCCCTATCTATGGAAGTGACTGCATTTCTTCCCCTCTCTGTGGGCTGAGGAGAGAGAGAAGCTTCTGGAAGACATGGTACAAGCCCTGTGGAGGTCTGACAAGACTTGGCCTGAAGAGAGAATGGATACATCCCACTTCTCTAATCCCCACAATTTTTTTCTTGGACCTATTTCCTTATTCTGCTTCTTGATAAATAAATAAAAAAAAAATGTGTTACTCTGAAATTAGTGTTACATTTTTTAGGATTCCTTAGAATCTGCTATCTTTTCCCAGGAGAGAGAGGAGATAAAAATATCAAAATAAAACATAAATGTAATAGTACATAGAGTCCTTGTATTTGAAATGATAAAATCCAACAGAGTTAGCTCAATGTGTCTTTTTATGAGATAGTGCCTCATGGGAATGTGCCAGAGGGTCATTTACCTTGTGACATCAGAAATAATGGCCACAGATCCCTGAGAAAAGACTGTTTTTCCTCTGCCAGGCAGAAATAATAAATGGACCTAGTACGGGGTTGATGATCAGGCTGCCGTACGACGCACTAAGCTCTAGTGGGAGTTTCAAACAGCAAGAGACTCTCTAAGATGGGGAAACAGCACCTGTTGACAGGAAGCTATGGCGAGGCGTTTTTTGTCTTGTTCTCTGAAGCCTGGGGGAACTTATCCAGGTGGTCAGGAGTCACTCCGGGGTCAGACTATCATCGTGAAACTTCCTGATTTGTGGCATAACCACTGTTCAGTGTCACCGCTACACAGCAAAATCAGCCCGATTATGTTACCCACTGTTGGCAAGACCGGAAGTCTTAGATTTTACCTAAGAAATCAAGATTGAGTCTGTGAGATATAGGCCATTCTCAGATGGGTGGAATTAAGTTTAGCCATCTCCTGGTTTCTTCATGAAGTGATATGGATAACTTGTTTGGTCCAATTAAAATTTTAATGGCCGAAAACATTATTTCTGTCTAAGTGTGCTTATAAAAATGTCAAGGCATTTTCAATAAATTATGTTTCCAGCTATGGGGCAATAACTGCAACTCCACTTGTCTTCCTACTGTTGACAACTAGAAAACTGGAAAATAAACAAATGTATGAAACAACTATTTTCAGAAGTTGGACAACAGACAACCCAGGACTGTGATTAGGAGAATGAAGATAAACCTACAGTTGACGTAGCTTTCTGCCTGGAGGCACTTTTCAAATCTTAATGCAGGGAAAGGATGACCCAAGTGTGGCATTGACGGTCTTACTGAGTCGAGGAGATAAGATCAAAGTTTGGAGAACGGAAACAGCTAGAATGTGTGGACTAGAGTACCAAATAGGAGAAAGCTCTGCAGAGAAAGAACTATATAAATAAGTGGGTCTGTTACTGAATAATAAGCCAAGCATGTGTACTGCACAAGACCACT